GACCCTCTGAACCGAGCAGACCCGTTTGAAGGTCTCGCCGGGTCTGGCGGGTGTTACGGGCCTTGTGACGAACCGTCCCTTTTTTTTCTTAACATTTTGCCCTTTCTGTTCTGGTTTTATCCTCTTTGTAAAGCAGTATATGTTTCACAGACATTCTACACTGTTTGTTTAGAGAAATGTGACCTTGTAGTCTTTCACTTCTAATACAGTTCATACTGTATTGTTGGGTTGTAGGGTTTTGTTGTGGGTGGGGAAAACTTGGTGCCAGGCTGTCTGGTGGGGTAGAAGTTGTATATACTGAGCTGTGTTTAATAAAGAGGCATTCATTTTCACCCTACACGAAGTTCTGACTCGTGGTTTGGGAGAGCAGGGAAGGGAGTGTTTTTTTTAGCTATAATACCTGTCTTGGGAGAGTGCTGGAAGACTTGCTGGTAAAGGGGACCATTGGGTGAGACGCACTGCTCCGCACGAGGAAGCCCAGGCGGAATGGTTCCGCCACAGTCACCTCCTCACTGTCCTCATCAGATGTACCCAACAGCAAGCAGTCCAACTCTACTGCATAGGAGCAGTCAGGTTGATGGTGGTGAGGCTCCATACCCCAGTACAGATGAGATGGAGAATTACCCCGGCTTGTCCCACCTACGATACATGAATGCAAACAACCCCAGCAGAACAGAAATGGTTTCTGATCTCCAGGATGTGGTGGTGGAAGATTAACCATGTAAAAGGGGGAGGGTACAGCAGATCATCCTTGTATGGCGTCAAGACAGACTAGTCATTGTGCAAGCAAATACGTGGAGGAGGAACTTCAACAGTCTGCTGAGAGCCTCTTGACTGTGGCAGCAATCCCAGCTCTTGCTGCCCAAGTTGACCTGACATTTTATTCTGGAGCCCTGAGGACAGAGGAAAACCTCCAGTATCCAAGCAAGCAGAACTCATGGTCCACTAAATCTTCCTAGAGCTTTCTAACTGAAAGGCCACACAGAGGTATGGACAGAGAGCTGGAGAAAGAGTCTGCAGGAGCCTGAAATTGCACCCGTGATCCACTGAACCTTTTTTTTTGCTTACATAAAATTGTGTAGAACGTGCTCATGATTTATTTTTATAACCATGTCAACCTCAGGGGTGGACTGACAACTCATGGGGCCCCCGGGCAATTGGGGATCATGGGGCCCCTGTGTCCTTGCCCACACTCAAAACACACACAAAAAAAGCCTATAAAAAGGTACCAGGGGCATTTTATGGGGCCCCCTACTGACCCCGGGCCCTCAGGCAGTGCCCGAGTGCTCGAATAGTCAGTCCGCCCCTGGTCAACCTAATAAAGGAGATAAATGGCAGCAACTGTCATCCAATATGTGACCACAGTGGTGTCACCAACCTGCAGTTATCACCAAAACGTGAAGATGGCGCTCTCAGCCTCACCCTGCACAGAGATTTCCCAGCTTGTAGGACCAGAATTCTAAGTTCCAGCAGAATGAGAGTGGTCGAAAGAGTTTGGGTAACTCACCAAACACCAAAAGCTGCCACCATGTGTTTTGGTGGAAATGCACACCGTTCCTAGTAAGTACTGTAACTAGTCTGAGCATTAAAAGAAAACGTCTGTAATACCCGCTGTCACGAAGACAGGGATGTGTCAGAGAACTATACTATGGTAGTTCTCTTCAAAAGAGACAGGAATTCTTTCGGTTCTGGTTTAGATGCGTCAGAGATAAGCTTCACCATTTTAAAATATTGTTTAATAAAAGAAAAGGAAATGGAGCATAAAAATATTTACAGAAAAAAGATATTACAACAGAAAAGAGACAATAATACAACAGCAAAAAAACAAATTGGGATCAAGGAGAAAGTCCATAACAAAGTCCTAGGTTTTGGAAAGGTTCCGTCAATGGAACATAAAACTGATCTGGGATTGGATCTCAGGAAATAAGTCTCGACAAATGATTTTATTTTTTTTCATCAAATGAAGACTTTTCAAGCTGGAGTAACATCTTTAAGATGACCTTCTACAGCAGTGGTCTCCAAACTGCGGCCCTTTACTTGCTTTTATCTGGGCCTAGGGGTATTATTCTCCCCACTGTTGGCAACAGTGGGGCATAGTTCCTACCACTGACACTGAAAATGGGGCACTAGTCTTCTCCAGACACCAATAATGGGGCAGCATGCCTCCTATAGATACCAGTGATGTGGCACTGTTCATCCCACTGACACCAACAATGAGGCACTATTCCTCCCATTGATACCAACGATGGGGCACTCTGCTTCCCACTGACACCAATGATGGGGCACTCTGCTTCCCACTGACACCAATGATGGGGAACTATTCCTCCCACTGACACCAATGATGGGGAACTATTCCGCCCACTGACACCAATGATGGGGCACTATTCCTCCCACCGATACCAATGATGGGGCACTATTCCTCCCACTGATACCAATGATCGAGCGCTATTCCTCCCACTGACACCAATGATGGGGCACTATTCTTCCCACTGATACCAATGATGGGGCACTATTCTTCCCACTGACACCAATGATGGGGCACTATTCTTACCACTGACACCAATGATGGGGCACTATTCTTACCACTGATACCAATGATGGGGCACTATTCCTTCCATTGACACCAATGATGGGGCACTATTCCTCCCACTGATACCAATGCTGGGGCACTATTCCTCCCACTGACACCAATGATGGGGCACTATTCCTCCCACTCATACCAACGATGGGGCACTATTCCTCCCACTGATACCAATGATGGGGCACTATTCCTCCCACTGACACCAAAGATGGAGCACTATTCCTCCCACTGACACCAATGATGGGGCACTATTCCTCCCACTGATACCAATGATAGGGCACTATTCCTCCCACTGACACCAATGATGGGGCACTATTCCTCCCACTCATAACAACGATGGGACACTATTCCTCCCACTGATACCAATGATGGGGGCACTATTTCTCCACTGATACCAATGATGGGGCACTATGTTTCCCACTGACACCAACGATGGGGCACTATTTCTCCCACTGACACCAACGATGGGGCACTATTTCTCCCACTGACACCAACGATGGGGCACTATTTCTCCCACTGACGTCAACGATGGGGCACTATTTCTCCCACTGACACCAACGATGGGGCACTATTTCTCCCACTGACGTCAACGATGGGGCACTCTTATTCCTACTGACACCAACAATGAGGCACTTTTATTCCTACTGACACCGGAGGGGCCCTATTCCTTCCAACAACACCAACAATGGGGCACGCTTCTTCCTACTGACACCAACAATGGAGTACTATTCCTTCCACCAGCACCAGCAATGGGGCACTCTTCTTCCTAGTGACACCAACAATGGGGGCACTCTTCTTCCTAGTGACGCCAACAATGGGGCTCTATTCCTTCACTAAAACCGATGTTGGGGCATTGCTTACTCCCACTGGCACCAGGGCATTTTCTACCCCCTACTGGTCAGAGTCCGGCACTCCTAAAGCCTGCCCTTGTACAGTTACTGCCATCCAGGGCTCCTGCGGGGAGATTTATCTTTACTTTCTGTGGGCAAACCTGCATCAGCATTCTGTTTCATTTGTAGTATATCTATACGGACCTCTCCCGTGGTGGTTCACCAACATTTTCTTCTTCTCCTCTACCAACTTTTTTAGTTCACAATTCGGCTTCTGGATGGATACCAAATGAAAGGACCAACAATTTATTGCTTGGACTCGTTTTAAGGAAGGTCCTTGGCGGATGCCCCTGTATTTCGCCTGCCTTGCCTACGTTGGCTGACCGAACTTGTGTTCTCCAATGTCTATTGCACCTACAGATACATGAGTAGGGTTTCTTCATGATGCGGATGCCACCATGCCTGACCAAGGAAACTAAGTGCTTGTGAAAGCTGACACCACCAAATGCACTCAGCCAATGACAGGTGAGGACGCCATTTTTATTCTTCTCCTGCCATCAATGGCCAACCCGGTCCCACACTTCATCCACATCTTTGGGGACCTCTGACCTCCTTATGAACAGTTTCTTCCATAATGAAGATCAGCCATGGAGTATATATGAGGTGTATATCAGGGTGTGCTTCTTCCCCACATGACAGCTGGGATGTCCAGCAACATTCATCTAGAAGACATTTCCCTCACTCAAGGCACTAATACACCTCCAAGGTTTGTGGGACCCCTGATTTACAGGAAGACAAGACTTCAGTGAGGAACATTTCCCTCAAGTCAGGACAGAAACGTGGCTCCTCCCTTGTGTGGAACCCCTGATGTATAGGAAGACAGGACTTCAGTGAGGAACATTTCCCTCACTCAGGACAGGAACGTGGCTTCTCCCATGTGTGGGACCTCTGATGTACAGGAAGACTGGACTTCAGTGAGGAACATTTCCCTCAGTCAGGACAGGAACGTGGCTTCTCCCTTGATGTACAGGAAGACAGGACTTCAGTGAGAAACATTTCCCTCACTCAGGACAGGAAAATTTGTTCTCTTCCGTGTGAGATTCTCTGATATCTGCAAAGATTGGACTTCTATGAAAAACCTTTCCCGCACTCATAAGTGCTTATACATCTCGAGGGTTGTGTGAATTCTCTTAAGTTTGGTAAGACAAGACTACTGTGGAAAAAAAAAAACATTTCCCGCACTCAGGGAAAGGTTAAAGCTTCTTCCGCATGTGGTATAACTGATGTTCGGTGAGGTTGGACTTGTTTGCAAAACATTTTCCGCATTCAGGGCAGGAAAACGGCTTCTCCCCCGTGTGCATTCTCTGATGTCTGAACAGGTTGGACTTCTGCGAGAAACTTTTCCCGCACTCAGTACAGGAATACGGCTTCTCCCCCGTGTGCAGTCTCTGATGTCTGTAAAGATTGGACTTTCCCGAAAAACATTTCCCGCACTCAGGACAGGGATGCGACTTCTCACCCATGTGCAGTTTCTGATGTCTGGTAATATTGGTTTTATCTGAAAAACATTTTCCACACTCAGAGCAGACGTACGGCTTCTCACCCGTGTGACATCTTTGATGTAGAACAAGCTTTGATTTGCGTGTAAAACCTTTCCCGCACTCAGTACAGCAGTACGGCTTCTCACCTGTGTGTAACCTCTTATGTTGGTAAAGATTGGTCTTCTGTGAAAAACATTTCCCGCACTCAGGACAGGTATATTTCTTCTTGCCTGGATGATATATTTGATGTCCAATATGTTGACAGCATTTACAGGACCCACGGCAGGACCATGGCTTTTCCTCCGTATTATGTATTTTAGGCACATTAGGATTGGAATTATGGAAATGCTGTCCACTCTCAGTGCAGGAGAAGTTCTTCTCTGTGGGAAGGCCGGCCCGGTCCCGCACAGTCTGAGGGTCCTCAGGATACGAGGAATCCGATGGTCCATTTGCACTGGGTGGTGCCGGATGGACATTGGAGGGAGCCGGGTTTTCTCCTGGACTATACTGTGTGATGTCCTCATCTTCTACTTTCCAGTCTGGAGACAAAGTGAGACAATCCTCGGAGGTTTTCCTCATCTCCCGGCCATGGACTAAAATACAAAGACAAAGAGGATTACTAGACAGGAGCTGACTGGTTCCCCCAAACCAGGACTCCACCCACATCAGGCAGCTTGGTCTCTGAGGACCTTACAATTCCACCCTCAAGGGAACTAGGAAATGTCTCCTCTGATCTCCTACCAGATCATTTCTTTATTCATGGACTAAGTCAGAGAGTGAGGAAACAACCAGAACTGTCTTTTATAGGAGGGACAGTGATAAGGGGATTATAGGACGAGGGTCCCCACCCCCTCTATCACTCATCGCCATTTTCCCAACACAAGAAGTACTGCACTTCCTGATTTAGTCCATGATTTATTCATGAAGAACAGCGGAGCTGAGCCTTTCCAGAGGTCAGATTATCCGAGAGGAATTCAGGAATACAGGACGGGGAAAACAGCTCAGGAAAGTGATATCACAACGCCCCCGCTCTACTCTGGACCAATCGGTGAGCAGTAATGGTGGAGGAATGGATTTAGTGTTCATGACCCACCTGTGCTGATCTCTGTAGGAGTGTCCTCCTCTAGGAATGTCCTCCTCATTCCAGCCTCCTCCATATATTGCTGATCATCCCTCACATACGTCTCTTCTTCTTCTTCTGCTTTAATCTCAACTTTTATATCTAAAAAGATCTTCACCCTAAACCAAGAGAAGTATCAACAATAACATCTGTAAAAGATAAGTTCTTATGATGTGTCCACACATCATCTCCATGAGTCACTTACATGTTCTAGATCATCCATCCCATCAACCTGATGATGGTGAGGGATGGTGTGATCTTTCTGTGTGGAATCCCGGGAATACAGAGGATGGGGACATCTCTCTGGTGAGTTTCTGTAGCTGGATGCCTCCACCATGGTGTCCTGGTACAGATCTTTCTGTTCTTTTCGAAACTCTGACTCCTCCATCACCCCATCCTCATCCTCCTCTTCTTTTATCTCTTCTTTAACCTCAACTGTAGAAGCTCTCAGGTTTCCACTCTGAATATATAATAAAAATGACATCAATGGTAACAATGCAGATAATGTACAGATCCTAATGATACTATCAGTGATTGTTCCTCATCTACCTGATGATGGTGAGGGATGGTGTGACCTTCCTGTGTGGAATCCCGGGAATACAGAGGAAGGGGACATCTCTCTGGTGGGTTCCCATGACTGGATCCATCTACCTGATGATGGGGAGGGATGGTGTGACCTTCCTGTATGGAATCCCGGGAATACAGAGGACGGGGACATCTCTCTGGTGGGTTCCCATGACTGGATCCATCTACCTGATGATGGTGAGGGATGGTGTGACCTTCCTGTGTGGAATCCTGGGAATACAGAGTAAGGGGACATCTCTCTGGTGGGTTCCCATTACTGGATCCATCTGTAGGAAACACACACACTGACTGAATCCATTGTTTCTATGTGTTTATCAGATGATGGGGGATCTGGGTGGATCCTCCGTACTGCTCTCTCCTTTCCAATAAAGTCTCCTCTTACCCGGTGATGTGAGGGGCTGTTGATTGTCCATCATGACGTCCTTGTAGAGGTCCTTGTGTCCTTCTGAATACTCCCACTCCTATATAGAGAAGTAGACATGTATGCATAGAACAATGACCATCCAGACACATCCCTTGTTTGTTACTGGAGAATGTCCCAGAATTCCCGGCACCGCTCACCTCTCCTGTCAGCAGCTCCATCATCTTCTTGGTGACTTCTAGAATCTTCTCCATGTTGTGTCTCTCAGGGTTTAGGGAGTCACATGGAGGCACTGTGATGGTCATATGATCACCTGACTTCAGAAGAGGAAATCTCTGTATTGGGGAACCAATAGGAACATCATGTTAGACTCCCAGGATCCTCCTCACCTCTCCAGTCAGGTCTGTGTTTTATTAATAGAGATGAGAGTGATGTCATGTGACCTCCCAGAATCCTCCTCACCTCTCCAGTCAGGTCTGTGTTTTATTAATAGAGATGAGATTGATGTCATGTGACCTCCCAGAAGCCTCCTCATCTCTCCGGTCAAGTCTGTGTGATGTCATGTGACCTCCCAGAATCCTCCTCACCTCTCCAGTCAGGTCTGTGTTTTATTAATAGAGATGAGATTGATGTCATGTGACCTCCCAGAATCCTCCTCGCCTCTGCGGTCAGGTCTGTGTTTTATTAATAGAGATGAGAGTGATGTCATGTGACCTCCCAGAATCCTCCTCACCTCTCCGGTCAGGTCTGTGTTTTATTAATAGATGAGAGTGATGTCATGTGACCTCCCAGAATCCTCCTCACCTCTCCGGTCAGGTCTGTGTTTTATTAATAGAGATGAGAGTGATGTCATGTGACCTCCCAGAATCCTCCTCACCTCTCCGGTCAGCAGGTAGATGATCTCCAGGGTGAGGTTTAGTATCCTCTCAGTCATGTGACTCCGGTCCTCCTCCATCCTCATTGGTCTATACAGGTCTCCTTGTAGACGGATATCTTTGATTAATGACAGTAAGAATGATTTGGGTGGTATAGGTCGCACAATAATAGGATGTGAGAGTGGCGTAATAGGAGGGCTTGGGTACATTTAATTGGGAACCCCATGTGTAAAAATCTTAAAAAAAGCATGGAGTCTCCCCAAAATCCTTGCTGGCTGGGACAGAGAGTCCCCCCCCCACCCAAAAAAAACAAACAGGGCCATATGCCCTAAAAATGGGTGGTGACCCCGCTCAGTGGTACAAGGCCTGGTTTCCAGTGATGAAGACGAGGGCCTCTTCCCCACAACCCTGGCCACATGGTTGTGGGGGTCTGTGGGAGGGGGGCTTATCCATATCTAAACAAGAGGTGGCCCCCATGGGAATAACTAACTCTGACCGCTCACTCAGCATAAATGGCCTAATGGAAGAAGACGTGGTCTCCCAGGTGACATCACTGACCAAATATCGACAGCTTCTGATAAGCCCCCCCACTCACAGACCCCACAACCACCAGTCCAGTCTTGTGAGGAGGACACTCATGTCTTCATCAACATGTACACAAAGAACTTTGTCCTCAGGCTTCATCAGTACACAGAAATCATTAATGTGATATTCAATAAGGTGAGAAGGTGATTGGTGGGAAAGGTAACATCTCCACAAGGAGGAGAATGTTCTGGCCCCAGAAGTGGGGGAATGTTCTGCCCCTGAAGGGGTTAATCTGGGTTCGCACACTATATATGTGTGTATCATCATCTGCTGGAGATAAAAGACGTCACAGTGACTATGGAGGAAGAGGACAGACGTGACGGTGGAGGAAGAGGACGGGCGCGACGGTGGAGGAAGAGGACGGGCGCGACGTGGAAGGAAGAGGATGGGCGCGACGATGGAGGAAGAGGACGGGCGCGACGATGGAGGAAGAGGACGGGCGCGACGATGGGGGAAGAGGACGGGTGTGACGGGGGAGAAAGAGGACGGGCGCGACGATGGAGGAAGAGGACGGGCGTGACGGGGGAGGAAGAGGACGGGCGTGACGGGGGAGGAAGAGGACGGGCGTGACGATGGAGGAAGAGGACGGGCACGACGGGGGAGGAAGAGGACGGGCGCGACGGTGGAGGAAGAGGACGGGCACGACGGTGGAGGAAGAGCACGGGCGCGACGGTGGAGGAAGAGCACGGGCGCGACGGTGGAGGAAGAGCACGGGCGCGACGGTGGAGGAAGAGCACGGGCGCGACGGTGGAGGAAGAGCACGGGCGCGACGGTGGAGGAAGAGCACGGACGTGACAGGGGGGGGTTACTGGGTGTAAATATAAAATCAGATCTTATTACCTCCTCTGCTGTCACTTCCAGCAATTTCTCTATTTCCTGATTGACTCGCCTCTCACCCGAAACTTCCTGTCTGTAGCTGACATCACATCCTGTCTTCCATAGAGATTTCCTGTCTGGGTGGAAGTGAGATCATCACCTTGTGGAGTTCGGAGGAACTGCAGACCCGAGAAATATCTCATCATTTAACCTCCCTGGCGGTATGATTATTTCAGATTTTTGGTGCTGAAAGCGGTACCATTATTTTGCATGGAAATATGTAGTTTTTTTATTGTAGGCTGTAATTTTTAGGAATAACTCACTGAAATCTGTACAAACAAGAGTCCAGTAAACATCCCGGGTATGATAAAATTTGAAACACGAAATCATAAATTATAATTTAATAAATAATCATAAAAAATAATAATATAATATTAATACATTTAATTTAATAATATAATCAAACCAAAAACACTGAAATTTGAAATAGAGCGCTAAGTTCGCACATCGCTGAGCAAAGTCGCAAAATCGTTTTCAGTGTCTGATGACGAATTTCCCCCACGAATCATTATCACTCAATTCTGCAAGTGGTTCTGATTTACTATCGCTGTTCTCTAGCTGGTCTGAAACCGCATCTGACCTAAAGGGACGCTTTTTGGACGCCATGGACTTTTCTCAGTTTCCAGGCAGAAAGAACAGACAAAATGTAGGCAGGGCACAGGACAAAGCACTAGGGACAAAATGTATGTGAAATGGGTTGAAACAGCAATGTTTTACTATGTAAAATTTTCAAATTTCCCACCGGCGGCGGCGCCCGTATGTCCCGACATCACAGGAACCGGAACACAGAATCCGGATGCCGGCATCAGCCGGAGGAGATGGCCGGGGACGCTGCAGGGGACACATCGCGGGAGCGCAGGACAAGGTAAGCTCTGCAGGGAATCCCTATGCAACGCCGCATGGTAAGCCCGAGTGTAGCTCGGGGTTACCGCTTTTGGTACTGACATTTTACCCAGAGCTACACTCGGGAATACCGCTAGGGAGGTTAAATCAGTGGTCTCCAAACTGTGGCCCTAGGGCCAGATGCGGCCCTTGGGGCAATATTCCTCCCACTGACACCAACAATGGGGCACTATTCCTTCCACCGACACCAACAATGGGGCACTATTCCTTCCACTGACACCAAGGATGCAGTAGTGTTCCCCTTACTATTTGTACCATTGTTTACGCTCACCGA